TCCTGCGGCGCTGGAAAGGGGTGGGGGGGGGGGGACTGGGGTCGGTGTAGGTGAGAGGAGGGGCTGGACCCACTCACTACTCCTGATCACTGATCAATACATAGACTGAACGCCACTGATCCCTGATCAGTTGAACCTGCCCCTCCTCTTTCCTCTTGCTCACCAATTAGCTTTGCAGCAGCCCCAGATTTTGGTGTGAAGGGGGTTGTGGGAAGGAACATGGATGGACTTTCTTTTTCTCGCTCTGCCTCTCGCTATAAAGACAAAACCAGGTTCACCACTCCATCCTACTCCTTACACCCCCAATTCTCCACCTATGGGTGTAGAGGACTGCGTCTGGACAGCTGGAGAGCCGGAACAGTGGAACTACAATGCATCATGTTCAAACTAAAAATAAAAAGACAATATTGTCATCTTGGATAGCAGTTGACTCTCTGTGGAGGATCATCTCAGCCCATCACATGACACCTCTATGTGACCATCCTGTGATTCATTCTGCTTTGACCAATAAACATGCAGCATGGAGGGAGAGGAGAGCTGGGTTGTGGGAAATTCAGATCTTCTGGATATCCGCCAGCTTAGTCCTCTGGTGTTGCAAGCTGGGAAAGACAGGAATGGGACATGTGACTTATTTGTGCATCTGTTGAGATTTTGATTCCGTTTGTGCAGAGAATGTTTTGCAATGGGAAAAAAGAATCACACCTATGGCAACTCACTCAAAATTAGAGTAGGCCAACAATTTTTTTTTCTGTGTTTATTGTGATTGTCCATGCCTGTCTATGCAGAGAGGGAAATATGTTTGTTTTTATTTTTGAAATGGAAAAGAAGATATTGCACCTATGATTCAGACCCTTACAGTCTGCTGTGTACTGTGTTGGTCATATTGGCTCCTAGGCCTGATCCAATCCTGTCAGTTGCCCCTGTGCACTAGCTCCTATTTTGATCACTTAAGCATTTGTTTTCATCCTGGATTAGGTTAGCACCAAATCTGTTTACATCAGATAGGTTTTCCAGTCTCCCTTTTATTCACTAATACTGATGCAAATGTGATACACCCAGTTATTCAAGTCGATTGCTGTATGTATTTTGTACATCAATCATGGCTAATACTGGTACAATTTTTGCTTCAAAATTAAATGGACATTTGCATAAAGCTAAGATAATTATGGTAATGTGAACAAAGGCACTGCAACCTTTTGACAATCATATGAATTTATGTATTTGAATGTTAATTTTGTATAGTTTTGTGTAATTGGAAGTTTACTGATGATTTAGCATATAATGAATTGCCATATAATTAATTTCTTCATGCCCCAAGCAGTACATGAGAAATTATTAAGAAATAGCATTTGACCAGTCTGGTGAGATCTGCCAATCTAATGCATTTAATTGGTCAGCAACAAATCCCCATACGATCCTACAAAACATATGTGACAAAGGAGTGTGAGTGAGTGACTGCAAAACCCAGAACTAACAGTTTGTTTCACTCTATAAAGACACTCCTCAAGATCAACAGGATCTCAACGTTATCTGCCTTGCCATGCAGAGTAACACACAGGCATAATGGGGCATAAAATACCATGACTCAGTGCACTGAAAATACAACAAAACAGCAGCAAGAATAATTAGTATATCACACTAAACTGAAACCGGAAGTGCTCAAAGACTGGGGAGATTGGCAGGACTATGGATAGGACTGAAACAAGGAGAGCAATCAGGTGAAGAAAGACTCATATGGACTTGGGAGACATACATAGCTGACTTGACTGGCTGTGATACTAATGCCCTCTCTTTGACAGCTGTTTTAACAGTTTTACGTTGAAAAATAAAGAAATAAATGAAAAATAAACGAATCAATAAAAATGACTAATAGTAAATGTGGTTTTTCTCTCCAGTGTCAAATCTTGTCCCCCAATAGGCTATCTTAACAGGAGACTGCGCTCAAATGAACACCGGCCACACCGTAGTTATACCGCTAGATGACAGGAAAGAGCCGCATAGAGGGCAGACACACCCACGTAAACAGTGCGGTTTGTTTGATTCATGACTCTGTTACAGAAAACAAATTATGTAGCCATAAGTAATGAACAAACATTTTATTTTACATGGTTAGTGTTTCAGTGTCCACACTGAAGCATGTATGGTTTACAGTAGTATACTTGATACCTGATATTTTCCATCAGGCATTATACTGGCTATCTGTGCAGTGCCCGAAGACCCATCGGCCTGCCTGAACGTTGATCAGCAGTATCTCCTGGTTACTGCAGTTCCCGGTAGTGTGCAAGGTTCGGTGCCTCTTAGCGGCTTTACCATTAGCAGGGATTATTCCGGGATTAAAGAGAGACCGGTTTCGGCGGGAGTGGAGCAGAGCAGAGCCCATGTTGTGGAAGTTTGGGGCAGCTTTACCACTGAAGGGGTAGATAGCTGAAAGCTCAGGAGAGTTTCCAGCCTGTTGTCATGGAATGAGCGGTGTGGAGCCAGGCACCAGGCCTGCGGTTAACTACCGTTAGCTATCTGAGCTAACTTATGTGTAACAGTCGATCTTGTTTGGCTCGCTGGTGCTAACTAGCCAGGCGCTATTTATGTTAGCATAACAGAGCAAACTAGGGCTCCTAGCTTGTTTTGGTTGTGATATCCTGAAGGAACTCGCTGGAGTCCTCTACAGCACCACATTTCCTGAACTTTCTCAAAGTTTTAACTTATCTTTCTGAGCTAACGTTGTGTAGGAAGAAAACAAGCGAGCTACGTCTTTGTCATACAAAGTTGAGATTCTGATTTGGGCGGAGGGATGATTGATGTATTAAATTGATTATTCTTTCAAGGGATTGCATGTTGATGATCAGACATCAGTTAGACGCAGTCCAGATCGCACAACCTCTCTGCCCATCCACGGGACTACAGATAACCTCTTTTTTGGATTCTTCACACCCCGTTCCACCGATCACTGTCTCCTGTCCGCGGACTGCTTCAGAGGCAGGCCACTCGGCCCTGAGTACTCAATGGAGGAACATGACAACATGGACTATTTTTACCAGCAGATACTGCAGAAAGATGTTAGCCGCAGGTTACAGATCGGTCAGGACCTCATTGATTACTTGAACGACCCACAGCGCTCCCCGGACGTGGAGCAGGATAAACCCCGGCTGGATAAGACAATAGACGAGCTAACGGGATGGATGAACTCCAGCAATTTCAAGGTGAGAGGTGGCCAGTCATCCTGAGGGTATCGCAGCGTCACTGCAGCAGTCATCCCCTCCTCTTGTTTATGAAATATTTTCCACCAGTTTACCCAGTGAATGGGGAAGCTAGAGGAGGACATGGAAATTGTATGTTATTTGCCAAGAGTTTGGTTTCAGTGGGAAGAACTTTAGCAGAGACGAGGCATCTTAAACGACGTGTCATCGCCTAAGTGCTATGAAGAGAGCTATCTGACATTATTTAAATCTGAGCTAATCAGATTGCCTGTCTCAATATCTGATCTCAGTCATCTCAATAGATAAAACTATTTTTAATTTGGGTTTTCATACAGCGTACCTTCTTGCCATATCTAGAGAAAGATATGTTTCTTTTTGTATTCTACTATTCCTCTGTCATAAGAGGTGTGCATTTTTAATTTTCATCAGTGACACAGTAGGTCATTTGCGTGGTATTCTTGTGGTTTGTTATGGTTTATATAGTCAGTTTGGCAGCAACTGTCTGTTTTGAGAACCCATTGTCAGGACTGTAGACTGCTGGGCCACTAGATTGAGTGGGGGAGGGGTTAGAAGACTCATTGTTGTGACCTAGGCTTTCTCTCCATCTAGTCCTCTCTCACCCACATTTTTACAGCCATCTCTCCATCTCTTTTTGCCTTTTCTCTGTTTACTGATCATTCTCCTATCCTGCCTGGGTACACTCTTCCATATCTTAGAAAAGCTAGAATGTGACATTCTTTGGCAAGGTACCAAACCAGCCCAGACAGTGAGTAGAAACAGTGAATTGGTACTGGATAAAACAACTATTGAGACTCTGTCAGTTTTCCTCTTATCTCTTGCCATTTTCTGAATAATTACAGATTTTGCACAGTTCCATGATGTTTTGATTTTTCTTGCCAGTAGTGCATTTAAGTGATTATAGATGAGATAATTATAAACATTCATAGAAATAAGTGGGGGTGGGAGGTTAAGGATGTTTCGGTTTTCTAGCACCCTTTGTGACTGAGTGACCAGACCCAACTTATTTGATGTGAAAAATTCTTCAGACAATCTCCAAGACTTTCATCTCAGGCTGTAACAACCAAACATGTCCCTTCATTCAGATCTGTTTTTTTAACGTGGATGCACACATAGTAACTTGAATTCAGATCAGTGTCTGGGACTAGTGTGCCAGTGAATCGTGACCCCCAGAAGCCTTTACAAAACGAGCTTTATCAATCCTTATTGGCTCTCAGTTGGGTGAAATGAAGGAGGGATTAGGTGTAAACCAGATGCTGAGTCAGCTAATTTAGAGAGAGGAGAGATGGTGCAATGTTGAGGAGCATGATGGAGTAGGGGAATGGAGTTATTGGAGTTAAGTGGAGGGATAAAGGTAGTAAAGGTAGGTGAGCAGAAAACACAAGTCACGACCCATAAATAAGATTAGTGTCCATTCACATTCCTCCGTAAGGAATGGGTAATATGCAACGCTGGTGTGCCCATGACTGGCTCTTTTTTTGTCAATTAATTTCATTCTCTTGCACTCCCTTTCTTCTTTGAACAGACAGAGCTGCAGATTCACCTCATACACCCTGCTTTCATAACATCACAGAGGCCTCAGTGCCCATGTGAGACATCAACAGAGGGCATTAATATTGCATGTTGTGTTGATGGGTAGCAGGGCCAGATGACTGGACACTGCTGGACTGATCATTGGGATTTTGTGGAAGCAAAGCAAAGTTATTTTGGCAGGAGATGAGATGATGCACTCAAGCGTTTAATACACTGCATAAACAGAGCAAACACTTTGAGGGGAGCATTTATGTATGTGCCAATATATTCACATTTCCCTTTTAAACAATGAGTTTAGTGCAAACTCAGCTCTTCCATTCTTTCCTTTACCAAATGTTGCTGTGCAGAGGTGGAAAGTAACTAGGTACATTTACTCAGGTGCTATTTTCAGGTACCTGTACTTGAGTATTTTCATTTTCTGCTACTTCATGCCTCAACTTCACAACATTTCAGACGCAGATATTATGTCATAATTTTATTATTTGATAACTTTAGTTACTTTTCTGAGTCAGATTAATAAAATATATTGTATTATATGTATTAATAAGACTGCATTGATCCCCAGTGGGAAATTTACCAGCTACCGTGCAGTATGTAAAGTATTTCAAATTCTAAGTATATAAGGTAGTTAACATTAGCTCCAGCTTTACAAGCTGCAACATTAAACCGACACAATAATACATCAATAGTTATAATCTAATAAAAAAAATATATAGGTTAATGTGAAGTGTTCTATTCTGCATAAGGAGTGCTTTTACTTAAGGTATATTTTGATGCAGGGCTTTTACTTGTAACAGAGTATTTTTACACTGTTATTACTAATTTACTAAAGTAAACAGTCATAATACTTCTACCTCCACTGTTGCTGTGTGACATCAGAGACTTGCATGATGTACTTTAAGCCTATCCAAAGTCTAGAGTAGACCCTGTACATGGTATGCGTATTAGCAGGGTCAACCACCCCACGCAGCAGCCTTCACAAAGAACCATTCATACAGGGCTAGATATTTATTTTTCCCTCCAGCATACCTCAGCCACTCTGTTTTGAAGCTTGCTGTTGCAGTGGCGTGTTGTAGAATGATATTTCTGTCTTATTAAGTACATGTCTGAAGTTTTTAGATATTTGGGGTCATGCCTAAATGGCCTCCTCACTCCATAGCCAGGCTTTTCCTGTCTGTTTTCTCCTGGCCAAGGTAGATGACAAGCCCAGTCCCTCCAATATCTTGCTGTCCTCCTCCTCCTCTCTCTCTCTTCATGTGAAGGTGCCATATGGATATGGCATCAAGCTTGTTGGGGTGCTGGATTGGGGAGGAGGACGGGAGGCCTAAGGGCTGTTTCCTTCCTGTTTCTTCTTTGTCCTTCACCTCCTCCCCCTAAATTAGGGCAGTATAAGGGAGTCACCATGTCAGCCCAGCTCTCCTCTTTCTTCTCCAGGTGATTTTTTTTTCTGTGGTTTTACTTGGCCTTCATCCTTGTTTTTTTTTTTTTAGTTTCTGTTTCT